TCTCACTCGACACCTGACAATACGTACACATACAGACACGTGCACGATTGATACCAATACTCGTAGAATTATACATCTTTTTTACGCGGGGAATTATACATCTTTTTTTTTTTCGAGGATTTAGTGCGACGAGTGCAACTCATCTCAACTTTTCGAGAAATTAAGATTATCGATCTCCAGGTTGAGGACATTTTTTTTCATACTTTAAAATGGCATCTTTTTTAAATTTTGTATTGCTTGATTTTCTCAACCTCAAGATGGAGATCACAGCGTTCACACTTCGGATTTAATCTTAATTTCTCGGATAGAGAGTTGTCACTTGGATTTTTACGCGTTCGATCCTACGATCTGCATATCTTTGCAGATCAATAGCGGTACTCATCAGCACCAGACGGTGACCGACTCTCCATACGCGAAGCCAAACAAAGCCACCAAAAGCTCACAGAGTCCTTTGCCCAACGAGGGCACGCAGACCCGCGTTCACATCACCGAGACTCACACAACCCACCTCTACCATCCAGGAGAGAGCCAACCTCTGAAACAGAACCAGTTGGATTCTATGCTCGGCAATCTTCAGGCCGACATGAGCCGCCAAGGTGTCAACACAACCCAGAAAGGATGCTGCAGCGCCTGCGAGAAACCTATCGTGGGCCAGGTAGCCGTCAACCGCGTCATAATCCTTGAGAGTTGATGCGATGTTCGGCGATTGGATATCCTCCTTGACTTAATAATGTTCTTGCTGCGCAGGTGATAACGGCCTTGGGCAAGACGTGGCATCCAGAACACTTCACATGTACTCACTGCAACCAGGAGTTGGGTACACGGAACTTCTTCGAGAGGGAAGGTCATCCTTATTGCGAAACGGACTATCATAACTTGTTCTCTCCTCGTTGCGCTTATTGCAACGGGCCCATTCTCGATGTAAAGTTTGCGGAATTTCGGGGCTTTTAAGGGAAAGAGTATATTTGTCGTGGATTTCATAAGTGCAATTGAGAGGAACAAAAACGAACAATAAAAGACACAAATCTTCAATTTTCCCTTGAACTTTTCATCCCTTGGCATTCATGGAATACCTGAACGACATAATAAATTTTAAATTTTAATTTATAGAATTTTTTCTCTGGATCATAATGCTAGTTACAATACAGAAAAAAATTAATTATCACTGAAAGTTAATCTATACTCTTTTCCTGGATGCCTCTAAATGTCTCATCGCGCAAAGTCGCGCTGATGGATTTGAAAGAAATGTTTTTCTTTCAGAAATGTGTGACCGCCCTGGAGAAGACTTGGCACACCGAGCACTTCTTTTGCGCTCAGTGCGGCAAGCAGTTCGGCGAGGAGGGCTTCCACGAACGAGACGGCAAGCCCTACTGCCGCGAGGATTACTTCGACATGTTCGCACCCAAGTGCGGTGGTTGCAATCGCGCTATCATGGAAAATTATATATCTGCGCTTAATAGTCAGTGGCATCCGGACTGCTTCGTTTGCAGGGTAGGTATCATACTTGTGAGATTTGTGTATCTTATTACCAAATTTTATTTTCAGCGTAAACCTTACGAGATCATCAACATCTTCGTTTTCTTCATGCGTGAAGGAAACGAAGGAAAGATTTCCTTCATCTTAAAAATCCCAAAAAATCGCGGAGAAACCGTCACAAAACCATAGATCAAGCACATTAAATTCTGACAATTACAGGATTGCAAGAATCCGGTCTCCGGAAAGTCCTTCTATGCGATGGAGGGACAGCCGGTGTGTCCCAAGTGCGTTGGGGTAGACGACGACGACGAGGAAGAGGAAGAGCAAGAGGCGTAAGGGCGCCGCTCGATCCCGCCGCCTCACGTCGTCGTACCAATTCCTCACGCCGAATTTCTTTATCACTATCGCCCAGTTACCCCCGCATGATATGTTGCCCCTTGTATGCCCTCCGGCTCTATGAATGCGGAGCCACTCCCCTGATTCTCTGACAGGTGATTTAGCTTGGCGCTGAGGAAGACCGAGTGCGGAGAAACACCGATTACAAGTCGCCGTCGCTTTAATTCCGCATCGCAAAAGAAAAACACACTTTCCACACTCGGATACAACACTCTTACATCGCAGGGCATACTCTCGGCAAGCACAAGTACGAGCTAGCTGCTTTTGTTTTCAAGCTCGCGCCTTGACATTTTGCCGAGCTCTTGACAATAGAGAGGAATTCTGTAGAGTCGCGCGGATACTATTAGTACTATTTATGAAAAGTAAAGAGATAAACCTTCCCTTCCTTCTCATCCCACTTCCTTCCAAAAAAAAAAGAAAACCCCCAAAACAAAAACACACGCGACACCGAGAGTCGACTGGCTCATCTACACACCCAGCGACTCGGAGATGCGCGTCTTGGCAAAAGACACGGGGAAGAACCAGCAGCTGAACGCTGTGAACAGCAATGCCATTGTTATAGATGGATGTTTTCATTTCTTAAGGTGTATAGTAACAACAGATGAATAGAATTGACATGAAAAATTCGTCTCGAGAAAAGTTGAACAATTAATTTCTCTCTCGATCAAAATATTTTTTTTATGGTTAAATTATCATATGAATATATATAGATATAATTGTTTCTGTGAAGGAATTTAAGCAAGTCAAGAAAATACATATTAATTAAAAAAAATTCAATTCTTCTGGTAATATTATACACTTTTTATCACAATTTACTGATAAATACAAAATATAAATCGTATACTGATTTCTAATCAATTTTTATTTAACGTCGTTTAATTTTATATGAATCTCGTTTTACTCAAGACGAGGAATAGTAGTGGAATATAGCGTATACAAAATGTTTCCAAGTTACTATCAATTTCTTGTATTTGTAATTTTTAAATATTCGCAAACATTTTTTTCTTAGAAACTATTATTATTAATGTTTTCATATTATGATATTAATGATACATTTCATTCAATATATTTACATAAAGTTTTGCAATTTTTCCATTGTTTTTTTCATGGAACAAGATAGTATTCATCTTTTAATTGAAATAATGATATATATTTTTTTAAAGTTTACAGAATTTTGTAGCGTGACATTTTTCTCGTATATTAAACTTTTTTATACAATATTCTCAAACGCGCCTATTTTTTATTTTGCAGGATTGCAGACAGAAGTTTCAGGGCGGATCCTTCTTCGATCATGAGGGATTGCCATATTGCGAGACACATTATCATGCTAAGAGAGGATCCTTATGTGCAGGATGCCACAAGCCCATTACCGGTGAGTGTGCTAAATTTTTTAAAATAAGATTTTGAATACTGTGATACTAATATCATTTTTTGTATTTTGCTTTTTTGCAGGTCGTTGCATAACGGCGATGTTCCGCAAATTCCATCCCGAGCACTTTGTATGTGCATTTTGTTTGAAACAATTAAACAAGGGCACATTCAAGGAGCAAAACGACAAACCTTACTGCCATGGCTGCTTTGAGAAACTCTTCGGATAAATATAATCTTTTTCGAAATTTTTTTTGTAACGCAATAAAACGAGAGGCTGTTTCTCTCGGCAACGTTTTATTACTCTTGACGAAATACGTATACGGTATAAACATTTACTTGCTTTGATTGTCTACATATAGAAGTGCGAGAACTCACATTGCCTAAAGTAGCCTTATAGAAAAAAAATTTTCATTTTTTTAACTAAATATTGACTAACGAATGGTGTATGCAAAAGGACATGAATAGAATTTGAATTAAGAGATTAAATGATCTGTTATCTCATCTTGATCGCCATATTTATGAAATTGAGATCAATTTTATACAATTTTTTTTAGGGAAATTAAATGAGATTATAAGAGATAAAGTTATATATGAATGAGTACAATTTCAATCTCGATTAATACCGAGAAAATTTCAATAAAAAGTTTACGAATATAAACTGTCAAAATATTTAATGCTAAAAAGTTACAATACAGATCTCTCTTTATTAAATTTTCACTAAAGAAAATTTTTCAAAAATTGATAGATGTGACAGAATACTCTGATTTTTATGCAATGTTTTTTTTTTTAAATTTCATCTAATTTTGTGTGATAAATCACACGCGTTTCTCAAACTGTTTACTTCGAGTTTGTCATGCCGTTTAAGGATTAACGAAAAGGGTGCTATATATAATAGTTTATCATTATTAATAATTTGTCTATAATATCTAGTAATATTTGTACAACCGTATCTTTGCCACCAAATATCTCCCTGATGAAGCTCTTCCCGTACGCGTTAAAAATATTTCGTATATTTATAAAGTATTTAAATAGCATTAATATAATAATCAGTTTAACACTACCGCGCAAACAGCGCTACATACATATGCCTACTATATTGAATTGTATATTGTCATATAAAACAGTCGAGGAAATTACGAAAAATAAATAGAACGAATCGCGTCATCAGGTACAAATGACGCAATTTAGCGCAGAGTTGGAAAATAAAAACTATGTTATTAGTTTGAGATTTATTTGTTACACAGCAAAAAACAAAAAATCAATATATATAAGTCTAAACATGTATACATTAATAATAAATTTCTTAAATAGGCACGTGTAGGTGTATGTGTAAAAAAAATTCACCGTTCATGTCTATAGGAAACTATTTAGATATATCCTCTTACAATATGTCGAATAAATTAAAAAAAATTTATGATCTTAAATATATACAAAAATATATTCTTATAGCTAATATGTCACTAGTTTCAATTTTATTGTAAAAAATTTGGTACTATTAATATGTCAATTAATAGTTAGACAATATGTAGCAATATGCTGTGTTACTAATTGTGCTGGATAAAGCTACTATTCAAAGCTAAAATTTGTAACAAAAAGAAAGAATAGAAGAAACAAATTTATTTATTCATAGAAGCTCTCTGCTAATTAAAATAATTTGTATAGAAAGAGCCTCTTTAATTAGTTATATTATGTCTTTATAATCACTTGAATGAGTATACAAGTATAATTAACGTACATATTTTGAGTACGAACATAGGACATATCTTTATTACATATTTACATAACTTGCATTGAGTCAAGTCTCCAAGAGTTATATTTTTCGTTCAAAACATTGAAGTTAAACTGCTCGATATTGATAAAAAATTGTGCGAGAGTCTAGTCGAAGTTTGCAAATTTCTATCTAATGTTAATGAACGATTTCGACATATTATAACGATATTTTCCGAATCTCTCTTTCATTTTTCTTTTGTAGCCTATTTTTGCTGGAATTTTCCGCGTCACATATGTAACGGTTCGACATCGATCTGGCGCTTGCCTCGGCAGCACGCCTTATCCGGAATTGTCAGCCCAACGTAGGAAACAGCTCGCTGAAACTTTCGAGATCGAACAATTCCGACATGTGTGACTGCGGGGAATCGTGAGATTCGTATCCACCGTCCGATAAACTGGCGCAATCCAGCTGCTTCGTCGAGGAAATACCGTAGCTGTCCACGTCGCTCATAGCAGGTGACATGGAATTGGTGTATGCCGGTGAGAATTGCGCCGGATAGCGCAATTGAATGCCCGATGAAGGAACAGCGTCGTCTGCGGCATGGCTGACGGCACCGCTCTCGTTACTACTGACCACCTCTTGCACGCATTCCTGGATACCCACGCAGCCGTCGTTCTCCTCACCCGGATACATAATTGTGATGGAGTTGGTGGTCTCGTCGTATGTACCATAGACAGTATCGAGATCCGATGCCGTCTCAGACTCCTGTTTGATTTCAGCCTCGATCTTGATAGACGTGGTCTTCGTTGTGTCGCAGTCCTCGAGAAACCAATTGGATGTATCTCGTAGATAAGAGGATACGCTGTCTATGCTTCCACCAGTTCTACTGGCTTCCACATTTTTTGATGTCTGCCCCACCAATGCCTCTGGATGGTCAGGTTTTTCAACGGGAGCTTCGTTGACGGACACCTGTGGAATGAAGAGCGATCGACAGGTCATTAAGAGAGAACGACTAAATCATGAGGACGCGCGATTGTACAGGAAATGAATGAAACGTTCGGATTTTCTCCGGAGATTAAAACTTGCATTCCCACTGTTGGGATTAGAATTCCATTCTACTTCGGAATATTTCATCCATCTCTGCATCTTACATCTAAGTTATTACACTAAGCGTGCAATTTAAAAAAAAAGAAATGTAAATCAAGAAAAAATAACAAAAGACTTAATTACAGTGTTAAAAAAAACTTAATGTGCACTACATTTTTTTAAAGAAAAAAATTATACCAGCTCATGTAATTAGAAGTGCAGCGATAATAGCTATTTTTTTCACTTTTTTCACGATTTGCTTTGAGTGAAAAATACAAGATGCGAGTTAAAAATGCAATGCAAAAAGTGCAATTATATATATATATATCGATTGCAACTCCCGAGACTCACTTGTTCATTTGATCTATGAGGATTTGCTTCAACCTCTGGACTGACTTCTCGTAAGAGGCTCTCCGCCAGCTCTTCGAATCGTTCGGCGTCGGCGCTTTGGAATACGCTGAACAATTCTTCAAAAGGAAGTATAGAGTCAGAAATTTCAGCAGCGCGGTTGCTCCTGGCGTCCGCGTCGGGCGCAATGCCGACTGTGCTGTCCCACCCTGCGGCAGAGGGTCATTGGGGGATACTGCAGATCCCAGCGAAGGTACAGCACCGTCGACACGAGTCCGACAGGCGGAGCAGATCGGTTGTTGCTGATCTGTGAGCGTGTTCCTCACTGCGTCTCTCTCGTTTCTAAGCCTCTTATTTTCGTTCAACAGCCATTCGTTCTGCGACGTTAGCAATTCGTTCTGCGACCTCAGCATCGCACATTCCTGTGTAAGTAGTTCATTCCTTTCCTTCTGTGCCCTCACTGTTTCCTCGAGCTCGTCCAATCTGGCTTTTTTGCGATCTCGCGAGGTTTGAGCGGCCACTCGATTCTTCAATTTTCTGCCGGACAAAGAAAACGTCGACGTTAAATGGAGCAATAAATAAACAAACAAACAAACAAGATGACCATAAATTCTCTCTCACAGCAAAGAACGAAAAAAATAAAATTAATTATTTCTACAAATTTATAAAAAATTAAAATATTAAAAATTTCTAACCAAAAATGTTAAGAATTAAAAATTTGTATTTTTTATTTTAATAAAATTTGAGTAAAACTATATATTAGTATGATCGAAAAAAATGTTTCTTTGTATTAAAATCTATTTCGTTTCTCAATGTATGATTCAACATTATTTCTCGTTTCATAATTTTCTTTTACACACAATTTATTTCTAATTAATGGTTAGAGAAATGTTGAAACACCTCTTATCAGTAGATTATTCCGTCAATTAATTATTTCCCGGATGTTCGCATATAGCGATATCGCGTAATTGCATTTGCGTCAATAGAAACGAATCATCAAAGTGATACGTAACAAGTAGGTGGTCGCCGTTTATTACGCGGAAAATATTTCGCAACAAAGTTATTCCGAAATAAGCACTTTTGTACATCCTTGAATCTCATGTAAATATTCATAATTTTAAAGGCCGAAGCACCTTTATAATATATATTGTATAAAGTATAAGAGAATCAGCCAGTCAGTCCTTCATTTCATTTTCATAAAGAAAAGACTGATCGATCAATTCTCTTATGAGCTTTTACAATAAGTCATTTAAGCTTAGAGTCTTAAGCCCTAAGAAACTGACTAAGAATAATCGTGGTCGATTATTCTTCTCACATCCGATTATGATAGATTAACTTTTTGTGATTTAAAGATTTAAAGTTTAGGTAAAGAGGCTTTATATTGTTGAAAGCCCGTTATACTTTATGCGTTATGTAAAGATCTGTGTTCTGGCCTGAATTTTGAAACGTTCACTGAGAAATACCGTTTGGACATTTCTACTCGTTGATAAATTGATAAGATTTATCTACAAGCCAGGTAAAAAAAACACGCCTACTGAACACTAAACATTATGCGACTGCCGAGGTTGTTATTAAAGCAAAACACAATCTGTGATAAGCTAAACTGATAAGCGTCAACCATTGCCATGAGTAATGCTGATGCAAGTCCCTGACTGATGTAATTCTATATAGGATAAACTTTTGAAACCAGAATTTTTATACTTTATAGATTCGACGATTCAATTAATTATAAATTAATTTAATGGATTGTGCTTATGAAATGCGTTCTATTTTAACAACAGGTTTGTTCGCGTTTCTTGAAACTTTCAAAACTGCACTTAAAACGAAATAAATACATAAAACCTATTCTACAATGTGCTTTTTGTTTTCTGTTTTCTGCTTTTTGCTATTTTTTACATCTTGTCTTTTTGCTTCTTATCCGGTTTTTTTTGTTTGATATCGTCTGAGATAAAAGTTAACGAACTTCGATCGTCGAAAGAACCAAGAAATACAAGAAATAGCAAGAAATAAAATTGTCGATAAAACGGTTGCAAAGGAGAAAAAAGCAAAAAATAAAAAATAAGAAACAGGAAACAAAGAACACATTGTAGAATAGGCTTAAAGCGTTGAAGAGACAAAAAGCAAAGAACGATCAGAATGATAATTCTAAATGTAAAAAGTGTAACGTCAATAATCTTATTCAAATAAATGCGAACAAATGTTAACAGAATTATAAGTCGTCGACACTTCCACTTAGTACTCGCAACACTTTTAGAATCATTTCATCCTTGTTTATCTTATTGTTTAAATACTAAACAAAAACAAACAATACTCGCGATTGAGCGTCAAGTGGACGACATTCCTAGAAATATATGAAATTATAGAAATTGTAGAAAAGTGTATAATTATCCCGAATTTTCAAATTCTTTCAAAACTTAACTCCGAACTTTCGAAAATTCGAATTCTTTTAAAACTATGAATTTTTAAAGTTGACAAAAATAATTCTGAAAAGTAAACTGGATTCTCTCGCTTACTTTCGTTGCAACTTCTCCTCCCACGTTAGATGATCCAGTCGGCGTTTCTTTCCACGTACGCGGGTGTCCACGGGCTCGAGGAGCGTCGCGACGTCGTCATCGCGCATCTCTTCCTGCTGATCAGAGACGACCTTCCTGCTGTCCATCCTTGCCTTGTCCACCAGGATTGACGTGAAGTTCAGCTTAGGTAGCGAGTTGCGTGACGATTCGGTCCTCGGGATCGCCTTGGGCACTCCCTTAGGCAGGGTGATGATGACACTCTTCACGGAGCTCATAATCCGCCATGCGACGTGACGCGACGCGTCCTACTTTTTCGATATATTCTTTAACTTCTGGCCTCTCTCGCGCTACAAAGACAATTCTCCGTGTCTTCGATCGCGTCGTTCCTTCGATGACGGATCCAGCCTGGATGTCGACTGATATCAGTCTGAACAAAACACTTCAAATCTCACCACCGAGCGATGCGAGTGACGCGAATAAACTGACGCAACTGACTGATTCTCGGTTGTCACCGTCTCCATCTAACCACGTGTCGCGCCACGATTGGCCGAGCGTGAGGATCTTCTTGCCAATCATCGCCCGGTCTGTTCGGCGCTCGATGCGGCTAACTTCGTGCGTCACTCCGCGTCCGGGGTTCTCAGATCACGGATCTTTTTCTATGCATTTTCTCACGGGATTCGATTTAAAAGAAACGAATTATCGTTTTTATTTTGTAAGACCAATAAAAATCGAATATTTTGATAATAAGAGTAGAAGCGCTTTTGGGAAAGATAAGATAAGATACGGATTGTTGATTGTTTGAATTTGCAATACTGTATACTGCGTGCGCAGTCCCCGATTTTGAGAATCTCTATATTTCAAATGACTGTACAGTGTACGGTTCACGCATTTTTCTTTAGATGACGGATATGCCTCAGTGCTTTCGCAAAGCTGTATTAGTGGCTTTGTTGTGTATCATAGTATGTTGCATCAGAATTATTCTGACGCATTAAAAATAGATTACTCATACGTCTTGTAAAAAATTTAAAAAATTAACATACGGGAGCATTTATATTGTTAAATATTCTGTCAATACTAGAAATTTAAAATGCATATTACGGTCGATATATACCATATTGTAGTCTTTTCAAACTGCGCGCCGAATTGTTTTTCCGAACGCAATTAAAACTACTCTAGTAATCGCGAATTAAATTGACAAGCAATTTAATAATTTAATGCTATCATCAAGCATCATATTATAAAGATGTTAATATGTTGAAAGTAGTTTGAAAAGACTACAATATGTTATGTATTCAAGTACATATATAGTATATATAGTATATATTAGTAATATAGCATATATAGTATATATTAGTAATTCAAGATTGAATTATTTAAAGCAATGAAGATCTAGCTCTTCGATCGTAATAGGCATTTTAAATTTCTAGTATTAATTGTTATTCTTAGGAATGTCTTTTTTTATCCGAGGCAGCAACTGATTCACTCTTCGTGTGCCATTTGCAGAATACAGATAAATTCTTAGCCGAGGTGCGTAGGGGTTTCGCACCAACGATAAGCACGGAGACGATTTATCGATCACGGATGTGCCTGGCTATGGCCCGTATTCATAGTCGAAGCTT